GAAAAGTTTTAAAGGAGCTGTTTGTTGTCTCAGGTAGGCCTTCCTTAGTAGAGAGAGGGGAGTGCATAGGTGGAGTCAAACCATTCCAGATAAGAAAAAGAACCATAGCCAACCTGCAAGATGATGTTCATAAACCAGGAATGCTTTCCTAACCAAAGCTCAAAGAACAGCATGATGTCAAGGGCAGAATTACAGAAAGTGCTGGGCTCTGCCAACCACAGCTATGGCTGCAAATCAAGAGGAAGGGTACAGCAACACATGAAAACACTGTGTTCAATCTCTCTCTCTCTGTCTCTGTCTCTGTCTCTCTCTCTCTTTCTGTCTCTGTCTCTCTCTCACCAGTATATACTGCATCAGTTTCAAAAACAAAGCACAATAGGACTTTGGTCACTCCTAGATCACAGCCATCCCACATGGAAATTGCATTGCTCTAGAAAAGGCAGGCTAAGTAGATACAGCATTGATAGAGTACCTGGCATATAAAGGGATGAATTATTTGTGAACCTTACATCTGGATAAATGCAACAATCTCCCAGTTGTGTTTTCTCTCCTTAATCAACAAACATCTGAAAGTTTCCCCACATAGTAGGGGCTATTTCAGGTGCTGGATACTAAGATTGATGACAACTTGTCCCTGCCCTCATGAAGCGTACAATTTTGGAAACTAAGTATACTGACAACAAACACACAGGCATACGTGCTACAACCTGTAGGCTGACAGCAGTGTCACCTTCCTCCAGTCTTTAGGGACCCGGGCTCTGTCTTATTCCCCCTTTGCCTGATACTCTGCCTTACAATCTGCCTCACAGCTCCATTCCTCCACAACTGGGCAGGCCTTGCCTCTGCCAACCCAGCTGGGAGCTCTACATGTCAACGTAGTTGATTGATTCCCAGCTACATGCCTGCTGGCGTCTCTCCACTTACCTCCTCCCAGACTCTCCACGTCTCTCTGCCCTGCTTACCTACCCGGGTATTCATTCCTCCTGCTGCTTTCCGCTGACGCCACACTCTCCAGTTGTCAGTGCTCTGAGATCTGCAGTCCCCAAACCTCTTAAGTGGAAGAAGAAAACCAAGTTCATGTTCAGGAGACTGCTTGGAGGCTGGAAATTAGTGGCCTTTCAAACGCTGAGGTCACTGAAGGGGCCATCCTCGTGCTCAGACTGCTCGGCATGGCCCCAAGCACTCAACTGGATACCCACTCTCTTTCTGGACAGTTCTGGAGAAGCAGAGAAAAATGTTTTGTGCTTTTGCTTCAGTAGTTATAGACTTTTTTTTTTTTTTATACTTATTTCCACAATTCATTAGGTTCTAGCTTTTTTTTTTTTTAACTTTCAGTCATGTTTTAGCTAGATTAGCTCTTCACCTTAACCTCTTGTTCTTAATTTGTTCTAATTTGACCGTGTGGCCTGAGGATTCTGCAGAGGGCTAACATCACCTATTAGTGTACATTTAAGTAGTTACCAAGTGAGAGAAAGAGAGAGGGAAAGAGGAACACAGAGAAAGAAAACTCATCCCTAAAAGATCTCA